AGATGGGGACAATTTGGCTTATAACTTAACATCCTTTTCTCTACCTAAGGTCTCTATGAGTTGGAACCAAGTACACAGCACCGAAAAATGACAATAAAACCTGAAAATGCTCTCACCAGCTAGTGGCAAATTTAAGGGGTGCAGTGTGAATCATAGCAGAAGAGAAGAATATTAGTAACTTGCCTCTTCCTCTTTTTCATATGCTTGGATTCCCTAAATTATATGAATAGTTAATGCACTTGATTGATAACCAAAATGGTGGAGGTTCAAGTTCACCCAGAGATGATAAAAGGCCTGGAGATTTAACTAGCCATGGACAATCCAGGGAGAACAATTCTGCTTTGAGACACACGGGTTGTCAAATCTCTCTCAGCTCCATGGCAACTGATATTGCTGGTTTCCGGCAGTTTCAAGATCTAGGATGCAGTGACATTGCCCTTCGAAATATGGAACTCCCTCATAACATTATCAGCCAGCCATTATTCCTTCCGTGTTTCCTATCTGTAGGAAATGGCATTGGTTTTGTTTTTTTGTTTTTTTTTAGTACTTTACCTTTAACCAGCATTTGAACATTTTACACATTTCCCTCTTCCAGCATTCATTACACATGCTCTACTATGCTAATTCTTTATCTCCTCTGCAATCCTATATAACCTCATATCGATTATGTTCTCTATGAGGTAACTTGGGGTTGCTATGATGCTCAATGCTGTGCCATTGGTGTGTCAAATGCCATTGTGGTCACCATGGTGGACAGTGTTTGGTGGAGCTCCCAGACTGAGACAGGCTTGGAAGCAGGAGTGACATCCACTTCCTAAACCACATACCTCTGGAAACTCTATGGACATAGAGAAATGATGGTAGTTCTAGAACAGGGTTCAGGTCTTTGTTCATAGGGTCGCTCTTGAGTAGTGCTCGACTCGACGGTATTTAACAAGTGGATGCAGCAATCTGTAACTGGTCAGCACATTGTTGGCTAAAAGCTCGCATTGCTTAATCTAGGTTTGATATTACATCTTGTTAGCCATTCCTGCTTGTGTTGTTGCTAGGTGCTGTCCAGCCAGTTTTGATTCACAGTGACCTCATGTGTCAAACTACCTTATAGGGTTTTCATAGCAGCAATGTTTATGGGAGCAGATTGCCCAGTCATTTTCCATGGAGCTATTGAGTGGGTTTGAACTGCCAACCTATTGGGTAACAGCCAAGTGCTTAACTGTTGTGACATCGGGACTCTTTCTTGCTTAATGAAGAGAGACTAACCTTCCTGCTGCCTATTTTCAGGAAAGCCTGATAAGAACATGCGCCTGGAGCAAGGCAGACCATGGCTACCAGTGGAAAATTAGCTCAGGACTACAACATCCATACACATATGGATCAATAACTAACTTTTGTGTATCCCTGAAATGTATTGATTCCAATATTCCTGTCTTTGCCCCATGACTAAAAAAAAAAAAAAAACAAACCCCAAATAAGCCAATCTGTTGTTGACGGGGAGGGGGGAGAAACCCCAATTAATGTCTCCAAGTGGTTTTGAATTAAAGCTGCAGTTTTATATACTGAATCACAATATATTAGAACATTACCCCACAAAACCAATCTGAATACTTACTTCAGCTATGCCATGAACCTGGTAGCTGTACTTCTTTCTTCTGCATTGTGTTTAGTGGAAATAAAAACAATGCTTAGTGGAGTAACAGTGTTTTTTTCTTCTGTTCTAATACAGTTTTATTCTTAGCAATCTAGGTTTGATTTTTTGTTTTGTTTTATTTTGTTTCTCTTTTATCAACAGCTTTCTTCGACACATATCTTTGAGTGGCTGCTTGCCAAATATTTTTGGGCACAGTGCTAGCCAGTCTTTTTCTCATAATGTGGGGCAAACAAAGGGATCAGGGATTAAAGGGCATGTCTGGATGCTAAAGGCTTTAACCTAATGCTTTTCCCTTCACTGTTTAATCATACAGGTTGGTGAGAAGATTTTCATTTTACGTCGGTGATAATAAACGACATCAGCTGCTTTATGAAATAACTCTTCAAGGCTAGCAAGACAGGGCAAAAGAGATGACAGTTCTGGCCCTCTGGAGCGGTGCAGGAGCGGCAGCCACGGGTCCTAAATACCACCATCTAATTTAACTGGTGGGGAGAAGAAACAACTTGCTGACAGTGTATCATTTTTTTTCATTATCCTTTGGAGAGCAATCATAACTTGCTACACACATTTAGAATCCAGTCTATATGGTTTTTAAAATGAAAGTATTAAGACCATGCAAAATTATGCTTTTTTAAAAATTCAGAATCAATAAAAATGTGAAAAAAATATAAAATGTGACGCTTAGGACCTTTCTTAGGGTTCAGTGCATTAAACATGTAAATGCATTAGAATGTGAAACTGTATACTTTTCCCTGCATTATTCTACAGCTGTCATTTATTTCATTTGGGTATAAAAGTAATTATTGTGCTGAGCATAATAGTACACATTTCCTTTCCCCTGCACCAGGGCTCCAATTACAATCGCCTTCAATTCTGATTAATCATGCCAAGATGGCAATTCTATTCCACTCAGAATAAAATTTAACAGTGTAATATATGGCTATATGTTCAATGGCGAAAACTATGTGTTTAACTACTTCAGGGATTTTATTATGATTAAAGTTAAATGCACTGCGTCTTAGTCAGACCTTTATGGGAAAACATTCACTACAAAATAAGATTTGCCACAGTCTATGTAATTCTTCTGCAGAATCAGTAAACTCTACTTACAGCTTTCATTTGCTAGGCATCGAATAATGAATACGATGTTTCAATATATATGCAAGATGTTTTGATTAATTTCAAAGTTGTTATATTACCATCAGTCACCATTCAGTATAATATACAGGATTCATCTTTAGAATAGATAATGATATACAGTATATAAAGAGGATGGGGGTTTATTTAGTTAAACTACTATATATTGAGCTCTAACCAGCTTTGGTGACGTGGACTGTAGGGTGTTGCACTGTGAATTCAAACACTGTGCCTCTCTGGGGGTTCGAATACCCTAACTGGGACAAAGGACAAAGATGGAAAAATCTCTTCCCATGAAATATACCACCTTGGAAACGGCAATGGGAACTTGAAACATATTTAACCCAAGAACCCATATAAAAAGTTACCCATTCCAATTATTGCTGCATACTTATTCTTCAGCAACAGATAACAGCAAGAGACAAACAAAAGGGTTTATATACTTTCTACTTCTCACTTACAAGGCTGCAGGGTGATCAATAACCATTGTCTTCACCCCAAGTTCTACATGGGTTAGCTGTTTTTTTCTAATATGTTAAAAATGTTACTGAAATTACTTTATGCAGAAACAATATAAGTTTTGTTTCGTGGTCTTTCGAGTAAGACACATATTACCAAAATATATTAACCATTGTTGTCCGTGGAGTCAAGTGACTGAATATCATATCTTCACAAATGACCTTTGGTCTACACATCTGTATTTTGGATTTCTTTTCCATCCTCTTGTTTAGGGTATGATTCAGGAACATAACTAGTGTTCTGGGAAAATTATATTTTAAAAAGGCTATGTCAAATATATCTAATTGAATTTACATATACAGATGGAAATATTACTTTGCATTTTAGTTACACTAAAACTATCGGTTAACATTAGAAACCACTTTATATCCTGTATATGATACTGTACTGTACAGTATATGCAGATGTAATTAGGAAGAAATCTGTGGCTTAGTATTAGGGAATTGTACTGCCAACAAAAAACCCTAGTGATTCAAACCCACCAGTTGCTTAATGGGAGAAAGATGGGCAATCTCCTCCCACGTGATTTACTCTCTCTGAAAACTCTCTGGAGGGTCAGCTAGGAATTGTTATGATTCTACAGTATATAACAACAATTCTACACTGTAAAAATTGCTGGTGGAAAAACATGTCAGGCTATTAACCAAAAGGTCTGTGGTTCAAACCAGGCACACTGCAGAGCAAAGGTGGGTAGTATCCTTCCATAAAGATTTAAAGCCTCAGAAACCCAATAAAGGATGTTCTGTGTCAGAATCAACTACATGGCAGTGGGTTTGGTATATATTATACTGTGAGGCCCTAGAGGGTGGGTGACGTGTTATGTACCAGTGCACAGCACAGAACCCCACTCTTATATTAAGTGAATGAGTCTAGAAAACACTCAAGCTGAGAAAACATTTTGTTCATAATGAAATTCATTTAAAAAGGTGTATGTCTCTCACATCTGAAATATTGTGCCTATCAGTACTTTCTAGTGGAATCAACACATACTTGGCAGGCATCTGTCAAGTTACCAAACAGCCTGTGTCTCTCTTGTTTCTTCTTCTGAAGTATTTGGCTTCACTACAGCTATTGCTCTTAAAAAACAAACAAACAAACAAGAAAACAAAAAAACCCCACACACCAAAAAGCAAACCCTCATGGTTTCAGTAAAATAGAATAGCTGTAGGAAGATGAGCCAAAGAGCCAAGACCTAGGTCTCCAGCAAGAAAAAGAAAAGAAAGGCCAATACAATTCCCTTTTCTTTAGACATATTTCTCCTGCTCTCAAACTTTGGAGAGGGGCTTTATCGTATAAAGTTGAGGAAGGAAGAGTGTGAAAACCTGCCCAGACTTTCACATCTTATCTTTGATGCACAATCAGCGGCCGCCTGAACTGTCTCTGAGTTGGCAAGAGAGAAATGTCAAGAGTATGAGAGAAGAGAAAGCATGCTACCTTAATGTTTCCATTTCAGGCAAACCAAGAAGTACTTAGAGACCAACTAAACATTTTGAGAAATATACTGAAAACTGATAAAACTCTAATTTATTAATTAAGTAAGATGTTTACATGTCATTGATGTGATTGTTCACAAACGAAGGTATTCTTTGTAATACGGTGCTTTTAGTTACGTCCTAACCCATGAAAGGCACAATCAGTGAGACACATTGTTTTTTAATCAGATAAACGAAAAACGAATCATGATGCTACCACTTACGAGGCTTCTTCTGACACAACGGCTCCTTCTTCTAGCTCTTGAGCTTGTTTGAACCACGGCAGCTTGGCCTCCACCGGGAGTTTCTCTGAGAAACAGATTCACATAAAAAGAAAAAGAACCAAATGGGCATTTCAGAGGAATTTCTTTCTTCCTTTTCCCCTTATTTCTACTACCACTTCTCGCTATTGTACAGTGCCCCAAAGTTCATTGCAGATATCAGTAAGCTATTTAGATACATTTCTGCTTCTCATTAAAACAAGACATAAAAAACGTCAGAGTTGAAAAGTGTTTAGTAATATTAGTCTTTGGGAGGCATGTGGCTTTATAATGTTGCATAATGGAGAATTGATGCCTTTGAGCTGTGGTACTGGAGAAGAGTATTGAGGGTACCATGGACTGCTAGAAAAACAAACAGATTCATCCTGGAAAGGGTTAAACTGGGTGGCTCCCTGGAGGCAAGGATTTTGAGGCTCTGTCTAATATACTTTGGATATGTTGTAAGGAGGGACCGGTCCTTGGAGAGGGACATCATACTTGGGAGGGTGGAGGAACAGCACAGGAGGGGAAGACTCTCTATGAGGTGGATTGATTCAATGACTGGGGTATCGGGACGGGTGTGTCAGAGACAGTGAGATTGGCTCAGGACAGAGCAGAGTTTAGGGCTGTTGTACACAGGGTCGCTACGAGTCACAAGCGACTCAATGGCACATAACAACAACAACAATAACAACAACAATGAGCCTGTAATTGGAGGAACATCTTTTCATCAATCCCTGATGAAACCAGCCAGGCCTTATTTACCTTTACAAGCAAACAGGAAGGGCAAAACTTTATACTGGACTCCTTTAGTATTCAATTCTAACGTATTTTTCTTTGACCTTCTGGCTGAGTGTGACAGATGCTATATATTTTCCACTCCAATTGAATAAAAACCAAGTATGACCATTGACGATCACCAAAGATTGCTTTTAAGATCTCACTCATTCAATACCACCACTATTTGGCTCCCCGACAGTTGGAATATGAGCAATTTAGGGTCCAAACCCCATAATTTCACTTATTTCACCTACTTATCAAGCTTTGGCCAAACCATTCAGAACATGCTTCAAAAGTACTTCCTGGAAAATTTTGTGGAAGCGCAAAAGAAAGCAGGAGGTTAGAACTGCTCCTACAGAAGTAACTGCCAAGATTCCCACTCTGACATATTTATTAGGGTCATTAATAGGGGTATTTGCCTTTATAGTATGAGCCAGTGAAGATATATCACATTTTATAGCATACAATCGCAAAGATGAAAGAAATATGCCTATGTATGCATATGCCACAGAATTATATGGCATTTTAATGATGTTTAGAGAGCCAGATATCACTATGTAGCTGTGAAAATCCAGATTTTATTCTTGATAGTTGACCACAAACTGCTTTTTGCCCCCTGAAGTGACTCGTTAAAGGAAGAACTAATAATTAATTTGCAATTTGCTGTTTTCTGTCAAGGTATCACAACTTGTTCTCTATGTGCAGGGCTTGTGTATGGTCAGAAAACAAAGCCAATGAGAAAGGGTATGTCACCATGGTCAGAAGGATTTTGTTATTATTTTGAGCATATTAATGCAGTTCATCACATACTCAAGTTTACCACTCTCACAACTAAACGAATGAGCACACAGAATCATGTCTAATGGAACAGCTGAGGTATATGCCTTTCAATAAGGAAGCATTCAGTTTGGTACAAATCACACAAATGCACAGGGAGCTCTGATGGCTAAGTAGTAAGGAGCTGCACTGCCAAGCTAAAGGCAAAAATCCATCAGCTTCTCTGTGGGACAAAGATGGGCAGTCTCCTCCCAGGCAATCGACAGCCTCTGAAAACCCACGGGAGGATCAGATAGGAGCTGGTTCCACCTCGACGGCATACAACAACACTCGCTTGTAGTACTTTGCTGTAGATTTGCAATGAATCCTGCCGAATGCACTAAAGGCCCCTCCTCCGATCTCTGAGAAAGCTAAGAAGGACACTCAAGAACTGGCAGGTAACATTGGTGGTAAGCATTGACATTATGACACAGAATCCTGGAGGTGCAGTGGGTTAAGAGCTGGGCTACTACAGAAACGCCTGGCAGTCTGAACTCTATAACTGTTCCATAAGACAAAGATCAGGCAATGTATGCCTGTAAACATTTGCAGTCTCAAAACTCTATGAGTTCGCTCCACTCTGTCCTGTAGGATTGCACTTAATGAAACTTGACAGTGAATTTGGTTTGGTTTAGCGTGATCTGCCAGACACTGTGCTTAACATCCAATTTGCATTATATCTCATTTCATCCACATGCAATATTGAGGAGAAGCCCCAGTAACACAATGGTTAAGTACTGGCCTGCAGACCCAAAGCTTGAAAGTTCCAACTCACCAGCTGCTCTTCAGGAGAAAGAAAGATGAGATAGTCTGTTTCAGAAAAGATTTACAGCCTCCTAATCTGTATGGACCCGTTAGATTATGTCCTACAGGGTCTTTGTAAGTTAGAAGTGACTTGATAGTACTATGTTTAATTTAGAGAATCTGTGAGGTAGTTACTATTATTCTCATTTTACAGAGGAGGAAACTGAGGCTTACCAAGGGTTATACTTATTAAAATGAATCTTGATTTCTGATAAATGTGTACAAAATAAACGAAAACCCAAACCCACTGCCATTAATTCCAACTCATAGAGATCCTACAGACACAGGGAAGGATTCTTCAGGGTTTCCAAGTCTGTGAACTTTGTGCAGACAGAGGGTCATACCTTTCTCCAACAGTTGACCCTCCGCCTTTTCCAGGATGATGCCTTTTTCGAGGGACTGGCCTCTCTTGCCAACATGTCCAAAGTGTGTGAGACCAAATTTCCCTATCTTTGCCTCTAATGCGTATTCTGGTGGCACTTCCTCCAAGACAAATTGATTTGTACTTTTGCAAGTCCACGGGCTATTTAGTACTTTATGCCTGTTGTTGTTGTTGTTGTTGTTGCAGTTAAATGCTGTCGAGTCGTAGACGACTCATAGCGACCCTATGAAGGAAAGACCTGACCACTTGTTTAACTTTCATCCTTTCTCCAAGTTCATAGAGTTTCTGAAGGCAAGCTATTTCAGAAGTGGATGGCACTCCTGCTTCCAAGCTTGTTTTAATCGGGGAGCTCCACCAAACACTGTCCACTAGGGGTAACCATTATCACATTTGACACATCAGTGTCACAGTGTTTAGCATCACAGCAACCACGAGTTACCTCTGTACAACAAGTGGACAGACCAGTGTGCTATACTACTTAGAAGAATGTTTAACCAAAAATAATTGAAACCAGGCATGAAGGCTGCAGATTAAAATCACCCAACTTTGACTTGTTAGCATAACTTTCTATCCACCAGACTCACAGAGCTCTCTTTATGTTGTTGTTAAGTGCCATCGAGTGGTAGACGACTCATAGGGACCCTATGAACGAAAGACCTGAACACTTATATAATTTTCATTGTTTCTCCAAGTTCATAGAGTTTGAGTCATCTACAACTCAACAGCACTTAACAACAACAACAACGAGAGTGCTCTGTTGGCCTGGTGGATAGAAAGTTATGCTACCAAACTGAAGGTGGGTGATTTTAATCTGCGGCCCTCAGGCCTGGTTCAAATTGTCTTTTTGTTAAACATTCTTCTACGCGATCTGTGCATTGCTGTACAGAGGTAACTCATGGTTGCTGTGATGCTAGACACTGTGACACTGATGTGCCAAATGTGAGAATGGTTACCCATAGTGGACAGTGCTTGGTGGAGCTCCCCGATTAAAACAAGCTTGGAAGTAGGAGTGGCATCCACTTCTGAAATAGCTTGCCTCTGGAAGCTTTAGGAACCTGTTGAAACAGGGAAAGCTATACAAGTTATACTTTATGAGTAGAGAAAGATTTTTTTGTCAAGTACCAGACTTTTTTATGCAGTCCTTAAAACTTTGCTACCAACAATATTTGAAAGATGTAAAAAAGAATTAAGTCCATTTAGTAAAATTTATGCTGCAAAGAATGGTTATTAAGAACATTTAGGAGACTTAATAAACATTTCAAGGAATTTAAAATTGGAATAAACCAAAGTGGGGGAAACATCCATACCCACATGCAGCTGGTTCTATTTTAACAACTTGCTGTCGAAATTCTGAGGGAAGACATGACCCATAATTTCCTGAGGAACAGCTGGTAGATTGAACTGCCAACCTTTTGGTTGGCAGCCTGATAGGTTACACACTACTTTGCCAGAGATCCTTAAAATCTGAATAGGCACGATCAATCCCCCAACCACCACAGAGCTCCAATGTCATTAGGTAGTTACCTTTGGGTTTATAGCAGGGCGTGGGGATGATACATTCCTCCTTTATGTGGGGCTTCGTTTTCGGGCTACAGCCGCCGGTGTGCATGCCTCGGTGGTCCATGCAGAGGACCACCCGGTACCTGAGGCCCTGACCACACGTCGCTGTGCACTGGAAAGAGAATGCAAGACAGAGGAGACTCACAGGCAAAGCCTCATTTGCTTCTCTCTATTTCCCAGCTAAGACTTTAAGTAACACTGCACTTTCCCTGAGGATTCCTGGCTGCTCTGGGCCACCTCTTACCAGTCAGAGGATCTTTTTTCTGTTTGGCCATTTGTGGGTAGAGCTAGCTGAGAAGTCAACCCTTTTCAAATTTATAGACTTGGATTAGTCAGTTAGCAATCCCTAAGCACCTACTGTGTGTAAAAGCTGAAGCCTGAATAGGAGTAAACAAATGACTAGTCCTCAGTTTTGACTATCAGTATTGTATTTTTCTTTATACTCTGTTCACACTTGTGCTTAAAATAGGAGAAGCAATAATAGCTCCTACAAAGACACTGCATTTTCTTGACTCTAATCATAGCTTATGTATTTATACATACATAAAAGTCTGTACTTAGAACAATGAATGTGAGGCTACAATGCTTCTACATGCCTGGTGACAAATCCAGACATAGAGAAACACAACAGCTCCCCCGAAGCCTCACGGGCATCCTGTGGCTGCAGGCACAATGGCACATTTCCTCAGCTTTCTAGCTCTATTCTCATTTCGCCTTTTGCATTAGCAGCCAGGAAACCCAGAATCCTGTTCAGTGTTTAATTGCAACAGCGTCCTGAATATCTAGAATTTTTACAATTACTGTACTTCATCCTCAGTTTCATTTCATTCATTCCTCCACCCCCTCCAATGAGCAACAAACACACAGCTTCATTTTGGTCCACCTGGGCTCTTTTCTGGATGCTGACAAAGCAGAGAGAGAAATGCAAAAATGAAACCAAACTTCTGGTCTACTGAGCACTGTCAATGCACGAACTTTGACAGCTTCGGGATTATTTGGCCTCAGTGAATAATTCTTGAAAAGTATTGGTGTCCCCTTGGCATTTAAGGGAACATTATCTGGGGAGTAATGGGTGCTTCTTGAAGTAAGTTAATGGAGGCTTTAAAAAAATCATTTCTTTTCAGGTGTGTTAGATTTGACATAGTTCCTATTTCAGGGACGAAGCTGGTAGGTTTGCAAACACCTGAGGCGGAGAAGTGGAGACCTACCCAGGGTACCAGGTGGGGCTGCGATGGTGACAGGGAGGAGTGGACTTACTCGCCTAACCAACAAAGAAAGAAGGCACAGTTACCGGAGACCACTCCTGTGCCAGCCATTTAGGGCAGTCAAAAATGTTGCAGGGCTGCACGATGGGCATCTTAGGGGTGTACATGCATTTCCACTCTTCCACTGAAGTGACATGCCCCTGGATGTCCTCCTCCACACAGGAAACTGCCCGGCTCTGGATGCCCCCCCCACACGAGGAGGAGCACGCGGTCCACGGGGTGGCCTCCCACCTACAGAAGCAAGGCGGAGTCATCAGGGTAGACATGCACATTGCCAACCTCCTCAGCGTCCTTCAGACCAACCCCGTTCCCAGCGCCTGATGGGAATAATCAGGCTCTGAGTGCCCATGGTCTGCAGAACCAGAGGCCATCTACCTACTCCCTGACATCTGATGAGTAAGAAAGAAGGCTCACCATTGGCACAAGCACTTTGTGAACTGTGAAGCTCCACACTGTTAATTTTTTTTTTTAAAGAGCCCTCCACAGATTATCTGTAGCCTACTCAAAAAGAAGGCTATTGTGTTGTTTTCATCATATAGCTTCAATGCCTTTAAAAACACACACACACAAAAACCAACCCCCCCCAACCAGAAACAAACCTAAAGTTGAACAAGTATCTATGAGAAGACTAAACTGTAACTGGGTTGGTGCTTTTTATTTTTAATATAATGCTCCCTTCCTTAACTTTTGCATATGTTTTTACATGAGAAATCAATAAAAGGTCAACACCAACAAGGCATCCCTTCTCTCTCCTCTCTTGCTACTGTAACCATCAACTTTGGGGTTGTATGGACTCAACACCATTCTGAAGTTCACTCAGTCCCACCCTCAATCTGTGAAACAGAAGTGTGAATGGATGCATTATCTTATTTATTCCCTAGTTGTTGAGGGATGCTAAGAGTTTTCCCACAATAAAGAACTCCTGGAACTGTGGATATGTTTGGCTTGGGTTAGAAGGCTGATGACATCTGAATTTAAAGATCCAGTTCAGTAAGGTTATTGTCAGTAACACTGAAGAGAATTCCAATGATTTTTCAGAGCTTTCCACAGCCTTGAATCATTTGGGATCAGGGCCAGAGAGATATTTTAGCTCAATTCTTTTCCCTCTCTCAATCTCTCTCTGTAGACTTAGAGAACATAGAATTTCTAAAAACAGAAAAAATGAACCCAAATGACTCCAAGTTTTCTTTCTAATATACACAGTTCTTGGCTTATTGAGATTTAAGATTTCTCTGAGAATTAGGAGAGATATAATTTCAATTATGAAGAAGTAACATGTTAACAAGTTGATCCACTTGAAGAGTTTGAAAAGAGTCCTGGTTATGCAGTGGTTAAGTGCTAGGCTACGTATAAAAAAGGTCAGTAGTTGGGACCAACCAGTCATTCCAAGGGAGAACCGTGTGGCAGTCGACATCTGTAAAGATGAGAGCTTTGGGACGTTGACTCTATGGGACGTTCTGTTCTGTTCTGTTGAATAGGCATACTATGGAGACATTATTTTATAGGTAGGTCTTTATATACATATGAACTTGATTTTTCTTATGTTTGAGGCTGAATAATGCATCTTACTAAATTACAGGGATTTTTTCCTGTGTAGTATTGAAGTAACAGCAACATATATTACTTCTACTGCCAACAGCTTAGACATGCTGCCAAACATCAAGTTCTCTTATGCAAATTTCCCCAGGAGATGCAGAAGAACATGTTATTATGGGGAAACTGGGGTCCTCTCTGTCTAGCCCTTGGGTGATTTTTGGCCCTTTTCAGGAGAACGGAGCCATCTACAGAGAACCTCTTTCCCAATGGGGTAAACCAATTCTTATTTGTCTCCTCATAGCCTGATCCAGACTGAACATAAGCTGAATAAGTAAATTCTTAATACAATTTAATGTCATCTGGCAGTTAAGTGGGAAATGCTTTTGAATGTATATTGAAATATTTAGAACTTTAGTAAGGCTGTAGAAAAATCACATATTCCAGTTGGTACTCTAATATCCCAAACATGACTCCTTTTAAAGATAGAATTATTTTCTGTCTCAACACTTGGATGTGGTTCAAAGTATAATTTCAGAAACAGTAATAAGTACCCTTCTTAGTCTTTTTCAGAGATCACAGACTGATGATGGTAATATTATTTTAAGAATTTATGGGATGGTTTCCAGCATATAACTGCAGCTCTGTATGTGAAAATTAGCACATGAATCCTTGTGTAATAACAGCATTATGTGGGATTTTGAGGAAAGTATGACAATAATTGGTTGAGGAAAGGTTTCAATTAGGATATCTCAGCACAGTGATTAGGAATGTGTTTGGAATAAACAAAAATACATCTAAGAAATTTGCCCTGGACAGCACAAGGATTCATTCCTATATCCCATAGTTCATCTCCTTTGGCTTTTAATTTTTTTTTAAATGCATAATGTTCACTTCAATTAAAATGTAAAACATTTCCCAAATTAAGAAGGATGTGAAAAAATGATACATATTAACTCTGAGTAAAGAGCATTCATCAGGCTATCCTCTTTGGAGCAGAGGCCAGATACGTGTTCCAGCAAAAACTGAAAGCAAGAAACAGAAATCTGAAAACGTGTGGACTGTTTGTATCCACACTTGCAGTCTTACACCCAGTTAAACAATTTAAGTCAAACTCTGTGGCTTGACCTGTATGTTGCTGGCCTTTGAGAACCATTTCTCAGCCTTAGTTGTTCTGGTGAAATAAAAACATATTATTTCTAACAGTTCCCATTTACTAAGACTTCTCAGCCAGGTAGCCTATCTAACTTTAGAACCAGCTCCATAACAGAGAGAAAAGGGTAAGAAACACAGTCGGCTTACTTCATAACTGCCCTTTTCTATGATGATGCGTGAGCATGCCAAATGCGAACTTAGGGACATGGTACGAACACCAGGAAGATGCATTTTAATGTGTCCTAGAGAATATTAGGATTTAGGGCATGTTGGGGGAATCTCAATACATAAGAACTCAAGGTGTACCAAAGATAGATTAGCCATGCCAGAGAAACATGAAGAACAGAGATCATATATGAAAGGGTTCTCTGACAACATTTTCATTCTGCTCCCCTCAGACATCCAGCTTTGAAATACATGGCTGTCATGCATCCTCGCCTATTGTTTTCAGGTTGATCTGACTCACGGCAGCCCCACAGTATGGAAGAGAACTGCTCCCGCAGGGTTTCCAAGGTGGTGATCTTTATGGAAACAGACTGCTACACCTTTTCTCCTGCATAACAGTTGGTTTTGAGCTGCTTACTTATTGGTGGCAGACAAACACTTTAACCACCGTGCTACAATGGTTCCTAGAGGAATTCTAAGGAAACCTGGTTAACAGTTACAAAAATGGAAATCAACGGACATCACCATTTAGACAAAATCATTTCTTTTAACTTTCCACTCAATAGCCCCCCTCAATGCAAAGCTCAATAAGTTTGCTTCTGGACCAGGCCAATCTGATGATGGAGCAAAAGCATCATGACGTTGCTTAAGATCGCTCTCAAAATAGTTCTAAAAACAGAGCTCACGAGCTAATCTCTTAGTGGAAACATGTAAAAACAAAGCTCTGACCCCAGTTTGGCTCAACTACAGGAGCCCTGAAGGCACAGTACGTTACAGGGCATTCTGCCGCAGGTCAAGGAGAAAATCCACCAGCTCAGCAGCTCCATGGTAGAAAGATGAGAAACCTCCTTCTATAAAGATTTACACTCAGGGAAAACCTGACGGAGGATCACTGTGAGTCAGAAGAGACCTGTTTGACATCATGTAAACCAAATGCTCCCCTCTCCCATGCCAGCATGAGAATTGGTGACCGTGAACTCCCTGGCAAGAACTGGATGCCTTTATGTAGAGGCTCGACAACAACTGAATGAAGTAATATATAGCTATTCCATACATATGTATGTACACAGACATATCTGCAGGTGCATGTGTGCAGTCACATAGGTGCAAACACATACATGCGTATTTGTGTACATAGAAATACACGATGTGTGGGTGTAATTTTTGGGAGGATGGAGCCTCACAGGCGAGATGGACTAGGCCTCAGCTGGCCTCTATTTGGCCATAAGGGTTCATAAGGGTTTTGGAATTTTTTTTTGGTTTGGTTGTTTTGAAAATTCTCAATTGAGGCTAGTTTGAGATTCAACAAACATGTGTGAATTATGTCACATATTTATGGTCTGCTTCAAACTTTCAGTTTTAAAGTGTAGCTGACTCCCTGCGGGCTAAATGAGAAAAGGAGGTAGAGCAAAAGTCTGAGCACAGTGGTTACTCCACCCTTATTCTGATTTCTGCTACCTGTGGAGAAGCTTCCCAGGAGGCAGGTTGCACACTCATTAGCTAATCTAATTTTTAACATCTCCAGGTTTTCATTAACGTATTAATCAAGAGAACAAGTTCTTAAAAAATATTCCTGAAGAACTTTCATCCCCCTTCCCCCTCCAGCTTTAAAAAAGCTTATATCTCCTCTGGTGGCTGTCAATAAAAATTCTTGGGGTTTTTTTTTTGGGAAGCAAATCTTAGAAATGCAGCCCAAGGAATTTTATATTTTGGGGTAAGTCTCTTCAAATGTTCTGAACAAGAAGAATATAGGGTGCAGGGTGGGGGGAGTGGACTTTTTGGTCTCTAATTATTATGTCCTCGGGGTAAAAAGAGAATACTTGAAGCTCACAAGCACAGCAACACCACATCTGGAATCCACGTTCATGGGCATTGTGATAATGCTTGAGGCAGTGTTTGTTTAACAGTTAGCAACAGTGCTTTAATGACTAGGGTCTTATTGCAGAGGAAACAGAAAAAGAAAAAGGGTGTGAAAACAAAGACAAAACATAAGCCCATACACTGGATCCAATCAGAGTGAATTACTGTGTCCACTTCAGTGTAATATGATCCTATCTTCAACTGCATTTTGAAGGACAAGCTTAGTGTCTGAGCAGGCCAGTATTATTAAAAAAGCAGAGCTCAGGATGAATTCCAACAGGTACCATCTACCATCTTATCATTATTATTATTACTGTTATTTTTACACAGCAACACAGAAACGTAAAACAAAAGAAAACAAAGCAGCAGCAGAAGACGGATTGACTAATTCTAGCATTCTAGCATTAGGGTGATGGATTTACGTACCGAGGAAGGGGATGGTAGAGGTCATAAGGCATGATCTGCTTGTATCCGTCACTGTTAGGAACAATAATGCCAACCCTCTGAGTAGAAGGTACACACAATAAAACAAACACTAAATGATTACATTATACAAATTGCTTTATACAAATGCAAAACAACATTTATAAATTGTCTCTGAAATATAAGACTAAAACAGTTCAATATCTTTACATTAGCGTGAGCTTTAGGAATGGGGCAACTTCTTAGGACACCGCTTAGTATAATTGGTTCTGAGATCCAAGCAGGAAATACCACAGGAAAGGGTGGTGTCAAGAAAACTTGGCACCTCATCATTAAATATGACACAATAAGCTTGTAAATGTTCTTTAATCCCCCAAATTATACATCCGATGAGGTCATAATTATTATCATCATTATTAATGTTACTTCCAGATGCCCACCAAGCAATTACTGTTACTGTCTCACTTCTGATGAAAGAGAGAGCTATTTAAGCACAGCTACAGACCTTGGAATGGACAGTACTATGTAACATGTCTTAGCAAAAACTTTCTTCCCTTGGTAAATCTAAGGGTTGTACTAATACCTGGAAAGCAGCCACTTGGATGTTTTGTAAGGGGAGGGGAAGCTCTTCAATAGAGTTGGCAATTATCAGAAAAAGCATGTTACATACTCTAACAATGATAGCACAGTTAAAAAAGAAATAAATACACATAAGAAAAAAATTATAGACTATGAAATGATACATAGGGTTAAGGGCTATTATTGTAGTGGATGGGAATGTCATGGTGGTTAGTATATCCAGTGCTCTGAGAAGCCTTGTGAGCTCTTTGAACACATGAAATGAGAAGCTCAAGGAGCTACATGGAGTGTCATTGTGGAGTGACTGTGTACAATTCCCCAGAGGATTTTGGGACTCTACTACATCATACTTAACTACATTATTAATTTCCATTTATACCTGCAATTGATAAGATTGGTTTGCTGCAAAGAACTAGTCCCTTGGCGTGTGGAAAATTTATGCCTCTGGTCTCTGATGGTACAAGAGACCACGTGCCTAGTTAGTACACAGATGGTGCCCTGAGTCCCATAGGACAAAGTGCAGGGGCAGAAGATATTCCTTGTGCAACCGGTCAGTGACAGGAAGACCCTTATGGCAAAGTGAGGGGGGTACCTGGCATGGATGTGAGCGTGTGTTTGTATGTGTGTGTGTGTGTGCGTATAAAATACTTAAATTTAAATATATATAAATCAACCAGTTTTCACTACATCCTCACCATCAACGCATAGTATATTCCTTTTATATGGCAAGCCAACTTAAAATCTTGGGTAGAAAACCAGAGAAAGAGTGAGATAGATGCACTTTTGTGGATCAGGAAGATTGAAAAAAGAAAATTAGCCGTGACTGGAGATCTCCCTTGAACAGAGGAAGGAGGTAGGGAAAAGAGGGCTCCATAGTTTTTCTGAAGAAATTACTGAAAGGTTAAGAGACAATGACATTTGTCTGAAAGCAAATAGGAAACAAGCTATAAAGATATATTTCTATTTACAGAAGGACAAAACATTGGCTAATTTGTTTACTTTTCAAGATTATAATTTTTTTTACTTATTTGTATGACTAAATTGTCATATATTTATTATTGTAAGAAGCAGTGTTCACAAAATAGGTCGCTGACATTAAGTCTGCTCAAAATCCTATGTCTCTTCACCACAAGAAAAAAAGAGAATGTGACGTTAAATGGTCCTGCCTGCTTTCAGAATCAGAGAAACTTTCTATTCTCTCCTCCTTTCTTCTGATAGGAAATTCGATAAGGCTGATTTTCTTTCTATTAGAATCATATGACTCTTTTAAACTATTTCTTACATCTATTAAGTAAGGGAGTTTAAGAATTATATTTAAAAGAGTGTCAAACTTCCAAAACTCTTCCAATAATTTTGGACATGCACTTGCAATCTACATACAGTACTTAAAGAACAAATACGTTTGAACTTTTATTCTATTTTATTTCAGTCTGCTGACATCAGTTTCTAAATGCACAAACACATATCAAATGCATTGTCTTCTAAAAACTTCACCCTATAGTTTGTCATCTTCAATATTCAATTGAGCTACTGCTGGTCCTGGCTATTTATTTACCATTTATTTAGCATTTAAAATGGAGATGGAACTTTGAAGGAAACAAACTAGAAAAGAAGGAGAAAAATAAAAGAGGAGATGATATAGAATTCAAGACACTGGGGTTTGCTTTGGACTGATTTAGAAACTGTGTTTTTGTTTGAACAAGAAGTTTTAAGTGTGAATTAAGCAAAACTACAGGTATGTTTGTCTTTCTATGGCACAGGTCATGGTGAAGACTCGTAAAATGACTCTACGGCACCTGTGAAAACAGAGAGATAGCAAAACAATGGTACTTTGTCCAATCCTGCTAATGCAGATCTGTGTGCAGGGGCCCTGCTCTCTCCTGGGGCTCATGCCACGGCCCTGGCCTTTCGCTCCACTGTCAAAGCGGGGAAGGAAACCCTACCTGGACCTAATTTCCTACTGCTTACCTTTAAGACGTTTTGTTCTTTTCTTAAGCTAACTGGATAGCTCAAAGAATGGTGAAGGAGGATGTCATGTAGAGATTTTGAGGAATTCTTCCTGTGCTGAGGTCTCCATTTGAATGTGTGTGAATATGGGCACGCTGCTCATAGGCTTTATAATATGAGGAGTCATAAAAAACGAACTCATTGTCCAGTCGATTTTCATCACTACAGGATGGATGCTCATAGTGACCCAGAGGACAAAACAGAAGAACAGCAAAACACCCAATGCTGTGTTGATTCCCAGAATGTCTCACAGGGTTTCTAAAGCCGTAATCTTTATGGGAACAGACTGCTGCATTTTCCCCCCTATGGAGCCCCTGGTGGGTTCAAGTCACTGTCATCTGAGTTGGCACTTCAGTGCTTAAGTATTGCACCTCTTAGTAGGAAAGAAATATAAGAGGGAAAGAAAAGAGAAAAGAAACCACTGATTTGCAAGAAAACCCACTAATTTTCTGTTGCCTTGGCCCTCCTTATTACTCCAGCACTTCTTTATTTTTTTATTATTATTAGTTTCTTTTATATTATTATTTTGTGTGTGTACCGTCAAATCGGATCTGACTGGTACAGGAGAATGTCCCTCCTTCTCCAGCACAGCATCTGGTGGACTGGAACTGTGTACCTCTGGAATTATAGTGCTACTTCTTGCCACATGCCCACCAGAGCTCCCTATTACTCCAGCACTTCTTAAGCAGTGTGGTGACCTGACTCCACCAGAAGGCCCATCATTGGAAGAGCTGTTGTGAGGTGCCACTAAGTATACTCAGAGTGACCCTGTGAACAAGAGATCTGAATCCTGTCCTGTCCTATGCTTTCCTCTCTATCCCTCACACACTGGAGTCCATCACCACAGGCTCTGTGGCAATCCGTCTTGATGGGGGGTCTTAGGGGAGTGGTGGGAAGAAAAGGTGAGGAAAAGGCAGTGACTGCTGCAGAGTAAGCTTGTTTAATGTGAAAATTTAAGTTTATTAAGAGGGGACAGAAAGACATCCCATCCCCTCTCAAAGCACAACATTACCTTGCTCAGTGTAGGAGAATGCTTGCATGTTAGGGAAAGCCTGTATAAAGAAATATGCAGTGCATAAAAATGAAGATTAGTGAATCATTTAATGGCATGGGAACGTGCTCAAATGAGAAAATAAAAACAAAATAGAAAGCACAATATGATTTTCAATGCCAAGGCAATTTATAGATCATTTTTTAAAAACATGTATATAGATATATGTATATATGAACACATCAGTATATTTGTATATATTGCAAACAGACATGTATATATTAGAAAAGGCCCAACAGTAACAGCAGGTAACTTCTGGTATTTGATGTTATCATATTATGGGTATTAGTTTGCTTTCTTCTTTTGTTTTTCTATTTCTGAAGTTATCTATGATAAATTATCTTTTACAATCACAATATAAGAATATTTCAGTGAGAGAAAACTTAAAACCTTAATGCCTAAGAAACATTTGGAACACAATGCAACTGGATAAAATGAAGCTACTTCCTCAAATTGCTTGTGTTACATAAGGATCATTGGGATAAAATAGTCTTAGACAGTCCTTTCAAAGACTTTCCTTTAGAGAAGACTCTCGAAGTCAAGAGGACTCAGGCTGCCTCTTGCACAGTGGACTTTACACGGCACGTGAGCTCTCTAGAAGGAAGATGTGAATGCAACTTACTCCAGGGGCAGTGTGTGTGCATGTGTGTGTGTGTGTGAATAAAAAGCAAACAGAAGGCGCCCCTTTCATGGTTCCAACTACCTTCTCTAAGCAAATACCTCCCGACCACTTGCCTCTTCTACAAATCTTCATTCTGCTCGTCTCACAGATGCATGTCTAGTGGCTTTTTAAAGTTCCCTAGGTCCCTTACAATTCCTGACCTTCCTCTACAAACGGCTTCTTTTTTAAATACAGTTTATTATTATTATTATTAATTTTAATGAAAATTTCCAGAGACTTTGGATTTCCATTCATTGATTGTTGCATTTTTCTGCCTGCCCACCCCTCCCCCCAGTTCGTTCTTCTCTTTGAAAAGTAAAATAAAAATTATCATTGTTATACAATCCCTCCAAACTGCTTCTTTTCCTGTGATCATCATTAACGTCCTGGCCACTGCCACTCTCTCAGCATTACCAACTACGTGCTTTTCTTTCTCTCCTTTCAGATGCTCGGGTCTACCAGTTGCCACTTCTGTAAAAGCATCCTCACTGAATATATCTCCTCCTGACCCAAGTTTGGTCCTTTCTGCAACTATCTTCTAGCAGATTTCAGCCTGCAGCTGTGGTCTCCTTTAATCCAGTTTACCCACTGCTTCCAAGTCAAAACCCCTAGGTGGTTCTATAGGGCCCATAATGCTCAGATGAATTTGAGTCAGTGATACATTCTGAAAGCCCTTCCTTATTTTCTCTCATTATCTAGCCAGAAATTCTCAGTCTCTCCAACACTCAGATCTTGCTAACTTCCTGTCATCACTTT